TGCGTATTTTACCTGAATGTTTCTTAACTCTCTTAATTTATAAGGAACTTTAAATGTCAGCTAGCTCTTTGGCAAGTAATTATGACAAAAAGGTATATAATAAATGGTGTTATTTTGGTAATTGTTTGGATTCTTTTTTTAAAAGACCTTAAAATTAATACATTCAATTGTACATTCATGTGTTAAGGATTTCACTGGTAATTGAATACAGTTATTTTACCTAGAGTTTATAATTCATTTTGAGATGGCTTAGATATAAAACAAATTAACTTAGTTGCTGTAAGTAAAACCAAAGTACAATCTTTTTGTCTGTTGAAAACGAGTTAATATTAACACTTATAAAACCAGAAGCTGGAAATACAAGAGAATGGGTATGAGGAGATGCATATAGCAAACTGCAAAATCAGGGATGTTTTTCTGAAAGGGTAACTGATCTACATGCCTTCTTTGACATGTATTTGACCCATATTAGTGCCAAATAACATACTTTTTTTCCAAAAACAGCATTATTTTCTGCCATAAATAACCCAAAACATTATTGTATTTCATATCTATCTGTGCCCAAAAATCATTAGTGTCTCTTTAAGATCCTGCAGTTGGAAATGGAACTGGTGCAGATTGTACTAAGGGCATTTTTAAAGTCAGCTCTTGCAAGTAGCTCAGCCTCTTTGGTCACCTAATTTTTGCATTGCTGGGCTTTTAATTTTTGCTGAGGCAGAGCTCTCACTCTGGCTATTTGATTTGGCTCTTGGCTTCTTGCTATAGAGCCGAGGTAGTTTGGACACAGGCTTTTCAGGTTTGGGTTCCCTTTTGGGTTTGTTTTTCACTCATCTCAGAGAGGCTGCAGTTAGTGGTCTTGGTTTGCCTCAGGACAAAGTCCACCAGCAGCTCCTGGCTGAGAAGACCATGAGCCACTCCAGCCCAGCTGTCCTGCCTTGCCTGCCCTGCCATCTCCTGCAAGAGAAAAGCGAAGTCCCTCCATAAGTTCTAGCCCTGTGATCCAGATAATATTAGTTGGAGCTCCAGCCACCAGGGAGATAAGCAGAGCAGTGAGCAAAGGGAGCACTGGCACTCTTTTCTCTGTGCATGAGACATGCTTGACTGGGGAGAGCCATCTTGGAGAGGTGGCATCTTGTGAGATGTAGCAATATTGTATCTAGTACTTGATTACTGTTATTCTTTTCCTGTTGCTGTTCTTATTGTTAGTGAAATATTATTTTTTCACTTAAGCCTTCTCATATTTGTTCCTTATTGGTGGAAAAGAGTTGGTTAAGCCTGTAAGGAGAACCAACTTATTCCAGAGTTTTTCTTTTTAAATTCTTTAAAACCAAGACAAAATATAACTAGAGAACTCATATAGCTAGTTCTTCATACCCTTCCAGTGAGGTTTGTTCTGATGGTTCTTTAACCTTACATTCATGTGGATGATGAGATGAACTGCTTTTTTAAACTATTAAAAAATCAGCAATCCAGAAAACTATTTTGATCTTCTGTGAACACTGCTGAAAATATGCAAGGAATTCTTGTTTTATTATACAGGACACACTGTGTTTTTATGGCTTTCAAAATAATGTCCCTTTTTCTCTGCCTCCATTACAGGAGGAAGACAAAACAATGACTGTACTGGGACAGTCTACCTAACCTAGTATCCTTTCCTTGGCAGCCAATAGCTAAGGAAGAAAATATTAAAGAACTATAAATGACACTATTACAAAATACTCTCAAAGGCTTCACTAACACGCAGGTCCAGGACTTCCAGAATAAGGCACTGTCCTGGTTTAGGGCAAATTTGGGAAAGAACCTCCAAATGGGGTCCCTCCAGAAGACAAATTCAAATGGCCCTTCCCCCAGCTGGTTCAGGAAAAATATTTCCTTGGAGAAAAGTGGAAAAAACCCTGTTTATTTAACAGAAATTGAATCATATTAAACTTCAAAACCTCTTGCTGTTCGATGAGATGGCAAATCCAGAAAAAGTCCTTTTCATGTGTTGTAGCTCAGCTCACTCAGTCCCTTATCAGTCCCTCTGGCCCTGGAAAGTGCTGAGGCCCAGGCCCCGGTGGGCCACAGGCGTGAGCTCCCGGGGTTTGGCTGGGTGTTCAGTCCACAGCAGGTTTGCACAGATCCAAGAAAAAGGGGGAGAAAAACAGTCCTGCGAACTCCTGCCTCAGCTAGCTAAAAACTAACTAACAGCAAAGGAGAGCTTTGTCCTGCTGTCTGTCCATGCTGCAGACACCACAGTCCAGGAGCAGGATGTGGGGGAGTGTTTTTCCTCAACACAAACTGCGGCTTCTTCTTCCCCCCTGCACTCTCAGAGCCAGTCTTAAAGGTGCAGAACTTAATATGTAACATAAACCAGGCAACTGGGGATGCAAGCATCATAAATTCAACCCAAGACAGGGGCTTTGTGTTCAGTAATCCATTATGGATTTATTTATGTAGGAAAATCTTGAAATGTAATCTCAATCCTGATCATGATCCATATTGAATTTTTTTTCTGTATAACTGTATCTATCTTGGAGCATGCCTTAACATTAATATTGTGCATTTCACTCAAATTTATGTGGAAAGGAAAACATGAGCATGGGTTTGATTTTTTCTGTCGTGGTAGGTTGCTGAAGAACTGTAGCCATCTAGTATAGCAGCACATAAGGGAGAGCTGTATAGCTTTGAAAATATGGAACATAGGAACTTTTCTCTGAATTGTAGAAGTGATCCTGAGATTTCTACCTGTCCCTGTGAAAGGGACAGATTTTTATTTCTATCTGCAATGAAATAGAAAGCATCAGCTCTGCTCATGCAGCGTTTATCTATTGTTTGTCCTGGTGTACATCCTTACAGATTGCAATGCACACTGCAGAATGTTCTATAATAATGTATTTTTTTTCCAGATCAGATCATAATACATACTGCTTACTTAAGTAGAAAGAAGGCTAAGGTGGTTTTCTTCAAATATAGTTCTATAATGTTATGAAGCAGAGTGATGCAGAGTCCCTGGGCAGGTGCAAAAGGGAACTCCTTTATTGCAAAAAACCAGACCTTTTAAAACAGTTAGGCTTGTATCAGTTAGATACTTCTAAAATACAACATCATCCAACCACCCACCATACACCATGATGTGAACATGTGATGGTTATATAACTTGGTTTTTTTCCCCTAATTTAGCTGAGTCACTCCCAGCATCCTTTTCTACTTAGCCAAAGTAACAGGAGTGAGCCATGATTTTACAAGACCTTCCTTTTGTAAAGTTTTACCTATCTGCAACACTATAGCATGCTATTACTGCTTAAATGACAGTACACATGCTTCTCTTATCAAAAGAGGAGGGATCCAGTAGTCTTGGGAGTTTTAAAGAAATCTGTACTATGGAGAAGATACAGGAGTTTTCTCAGCATCAAGTTATCAAGCTTGGCATACTGGAATTTTGTGAGAACATTGCCAGAAAGAAAGGAACTTCTAAACTCATTGTGGAGCTACTGAAGCGGTGGACTTAAAACTACCATCACTGACCAATAACTGTAATACCATTTCTGAATGATACTGCTCATCTTCTGTGAAAATATCTCTAGTAAGGGTAGATGAAATTCTGTAGCTTTGTAAACTTCCGAACTACACTTTGCCTAACCATTATATTTCATGGAAGTCTTTGCTCAGCATAAATTTGATACAAGTTGATGAATTCATCAGGTTCTGAGGGATGACTTGAATGTTCTGCTCTATGCCTTACCTAATAACATACAGAACAAAGTACGGAAACCTTTAGTGTCAACAGGAAAGAAAGTGAGGTTTTTCACACCAGAACTAATAGAGTTTCCATAAAGGGGAAGGGAGCTCCTTGAACACCCAGCTGATAATATCAGATTCTTACTTTTTCTGATTTGGATAAAACTTTGTGCTGACAAAACTACAGGTCAAGTTGGGATAAAGCACTTACCACGTTTGCACAGGGCATTGAGCTGCGGCCGTTCACATTGCTGCTTAGACCTGGCCCTCTATTTTTAGTTGATAATGAAAAGCTATCTGCTGTCTTGGGCAAGGAATCACCATATTAACATAGAACAGGAACTCTCTGGAGTCACAGAAAGACTGTGGTGGTGCTGAATGCCACAAATACTATATGTATGGAAAAGGAGCACTCCAGGTACAGCCTGACCACAGGTGGCACTTGGGTGGTCTTGTGTTCTGGGCCAATAATTGCCATCACCCCTGCTGGCTAGTACTCTATACTGTCAGTGAAGGATCTACAAACTGATAGACTACAGACTGCAGACTGTTGTTGAAGATGGTGAAGACCTGAATTAGTTTCTCCAGACCCTTTGGCTTTAGATGAGAGGCATCTTTATTAGGAGCATGCCACTGGAAGTGTAAAATCCTTTAGGACAATGCTGTTAGGAGGGCAAGCTATTCTGCTTTATCAGCAGAATTCCCTGCAGGACTAGTCATCATCACCTGCTTCCAATGACCTTACCCAACTTGTCTGGAATGAGACTTAGTTGTGAAGGCACTTCACAGAATCACAGAATATTCTGAGTTGGAAGGGGCACAAGGATTATCGAGGCCAACTCATAACCCCGTAAAGGACATTCCTAAGAATCGCACTGTTTTCTCGAGAATGTTGTCCAAACACTTTGAACTCCGTCAGGCTTGGTGCTGTGACTTCCCTGGGGAGTCTGTTCCAGTGCCCAGCCATCCGCTGTGTGAAGAACCTTCCAGCAGCAGGAATCTCGTCTCCTCCATGGCGCTGAGCGTGCCCGTTCCCCGGTGCTCACTGACGCTCGCAGGGTTTTACCCGAGCTTTCCGAGCCCGCCCTCTGCAGCCACGCCCGCTCCGCCGCGGACCCGTGCCTCCCGCCGTGCCCGCCAGAGAGCGCCCGTCGCCCCCGGTGCTGCCGCGCCTGCGCATCGGCGCCGGCGGCCGAGCGCAGGCGCGGGGCCGGGCCGGGGCGGGAGCGGTGTCGGTGGCTGCTCCGTCACGGGAAGGGCGGAACGCGGCGTCGGCGCCCGTTTCCTCCGTCGCGTCTCGGCGGCTGCGGCGGCCGCGGCCGGGCTCGCCGGTGGCCGGGGCGACGGAGGAGGAAGGATGGCGTACTTCGTGGAGAGCTTTTGGGTAGGGCAGCGCCGGGCGGGCCGGTGACGCCGCGCTGCGGGCGGAACGGGCAGGGCGCGGCGCAGAGCAGCCGCGGTCCCCGCTGCGGGAGCAGTGTCGGCTCTTACGCCACCCTCGGGGACTGGGCCGGGGCCTTGCCGTGGGGGGTTCGTGTCCGCTGCGCCCGCCGCGGCGGGCTGGGCCGCGGTGAGCAGGGTACTTGGCAGCCCGCGGCAAGGCAAGGGGACCGCCGGCCCTGCCCGCGCGGCCGTGCTCGGGCTCCGCTGCGGAGAGACGGCGGGAAGAGGGATGGGGTGGTATGGGGTAGGATAGGGGTTGCCGTGGGCGCTGGGCCGAGGGATGCGCGGACGCCACTCTGTGCAATGGGGTCTGGCACTCTCAGTCAGCGCGGTGCCTGGGGGTGACTTGGGCTGTAGTGGGTCTTGGTGCTGTACGGGAGAACAGCACGGGCTGTAGCAGTATCTCAAGCAAAGGCAGAGCGTCTCGGCGCTCCGCGCTTTTGTACCCGTATCTCGTCTCCGTGTGCCCGTGAGGAGGTAGACCCTCCGTGTAGGTCCATGAGGAGTAGCAGCCGGCTTAGGGAAACAACAGGCTTTCCTGCTTGCTTTGGACACGCGATCTTATTCGTCATCTCTGCGCAGATATCTGTGTTTTTAAGTGGGTAGATATATATGGATAAAAAGTTAAATAATGGCTTTGGGTTGATGTTCGTGTGAAATGCAGCTAGTTTTCGTCGTGACCTTTGCTAGTTTGAAACAAAATTGTTCTCGTAGAAACCGGACTGTTTACAAAGTTGCTACTTATTGGATTTTTTTTTTTTTTTTTTTTCTGTGCCTCTCTACCAAGTAGTAGCGGAAACATTGCAATGTTTCTTAAGCAATTGTTATTGCTTGAGACTGAGGTGAAAAAGAGACAAAATATCTTTTAGACGCCTGCTTTTTTAGTTGTAAGCAGCAGTTATGCCTAAAGTTTGGGAAAAAACTAATTTCACAATTACACTATTCTTGAATATAAGCATAGCTCAAGTTTGTGTTTTGTTTGCAGTCTTGTGTTTAGTTTTGACTTGTTTGCTTTCAACATAGTATTAAAATTTAATGACCCAAGATACTACATTTGCTCTCTTGGCATACAAATCTGCTTAATTTGAAGTATGTGAGATCAGTATTATCCAAACATGGTACAATTTTTCCTTTCATAAAAATAAGAATAAAAATTATGTAAAAAGATATGTTTTCATTGGAAAAGCTTCTATCTTCTCCTAAGATTAAAGCAAATCAGAACTTGTTTATTCAACTATCACAACTGAAATTGAACTTTTCTATTAGACTTTGTTATGTGCTGTGGTATGTTCATTTAACTGTCTGATCAGTTGTGTTTTGTTTTGTTTGTAAGTCCCTTAAATCGGTGAAGATAGTGGGCCATTCCCATGCATTCTGTTTCCATGTCTGTGTCTTCACAAATGCTTCCAGCAAATATGAGGTAGTAGACATCTACCCCAAATTCCCATTCTCTCTTTCTGCTTCATAGAGTCTCCACCTATAGCTTTGTTACCAAAACCACTAGTGTGAGTTATCAATGAGTGCCAAGATGTGGATGATTCTTTCTATTAGTACAGGTTCTTGTCACAGGTCCAGAAATCACAAAAGGTAGGACAAGAAGTTTGTTCATGTTTGTCTTGAGGTGATGACAAAGACATTAGACAGGATCATGCAAAATTTGACCAAGAAATTTTTATAATACCATAGACAGGGTTTTATTTTGTATAGAAGTAAAATTAAAAGAAATAGGGAATACTCCTTCTTTACTGCTGGGGGTGAATATTTTTCAAGATTACTGTAATGATGGATTTGGAAAATCTGAAAGTGTTGTGTTTCTGTATATCCTCAGAACTAGTCATAAATTATAGGTTTGTGCATTTTGAATCATTAGTCATTTCATTTGCACTAACATTTCAGAATAGGTTATTGTTCAGAATTGCTACTGCTTTGGAAGACTTGGGAAACAATCTATGTAGGTTCTGAATTGTGGTGAGAAAGTTAAGATGGGAATTAGAAGATAATGTGAAAATGCACTGAATGCATAATGACTAAAAATAATGAAGAGAATTTTGTAAGGAGAAAGGAAGGTGGTAGTATGTAGAACTTCAGAAGGATCATCCTGTATTTCTTCCTTGCCCTTTTAGGTAACCCCAGACAAAATACTTTTGGAAATATGGAATAGGATAGTTATGCTTTTTAAAGGACTGATTTGAAAATGTATCCAAAACATAATTAATATTTAATTATTTGACATAGATCCTGTCATAAACTTGCAGCTGAAATTGTGCATTGGAAATGAAAATCTGGATCTTAAGCTGTATGGTGCTCTCCCTTGATTTACTTATTTTCTGTACATAATAGGAAAAGATATCAGAAACTTAAGGGACTTAAATGATTTCTCTAGAAAAGAGAGTGACATGTGTATGAGTGTATCAGTTTCTTACACACTATTTAAGCTGCTGTCTTCCTAATTGTGCTCATGTAAACAAAACAAATCTTATCTTCTTTGTTGCAAGTCTTGAAAATTTTCCTGAGGCTTTCCTCTTGCACTGCTTTTGAAAGTCTTTAGATAATTGCACATTTTGGTTTTGTTGTTAGAAAATTGGATGAGCCTGCTATCTCTTCAGTGGTCTGTAAGAGGTCTATGAGAGATAAATAAGACTGTTTTCAGGATGTGTAAAGCTGAAGTACAGAGACCTCTACTGTCACTTTAAAATTTACTATCACCTTGAAAAATGTAAGGGTCTGCTAATGCAGTATGGCATTCTAAAACAATTTTCCAAGTCAGGAGGATTTTTTTGGTTGTCAAAAGTTATGAACTAGTAGTACAGGCTATAAGTGGCTTTGATTCTTATGACTGAGTTTTAGGCATTCAAGTCACATGTCCAAACATTCTCAACACCTAATTCGGAGTGTCATAAACCATTGTATGCTTGCTGCTGTGTATGTGCTGCATCAAAACAACGTCATAATTTAAAGGTAACACTATCATAAACCATTTTCTTTAAAAAGAGCTACATTTTGTCACTTTGAGTACGCTGTTACTGGTATAGGAGTATAGAAAGTGTTCTTTATCATTGTTTTATTTTCTTAATAGAAAACATTGCTTAAACATTGATGTTGCATTTAAACTGACCAGTGCAGCTGATTCTTATGACTTAGTTTAAAAGAATAACTACTTACAAATTAGTAAAAATAAGCCCCTTCCAAACCAGTCAGTGGTTGTTTCTGAATTGTTTAAAATTAATTTGATTGAACTACTGGAAGTTTTATGAATAACTGACACTGGTTTCTGTGCAACTCTGTGCTTGGTAACTCTGGAAGTTCTGGCATATAAAAACATATATTTAAGTTGGGTTTGACAATTTTTAATTTTTTTTAATTGATTGCTTTACTTGTAGCTTTTGAGAATGGCTGTGTTGAAAATTCCTTTTTGTTGTTTTCAAATACTTGGGGCATAAATGTTGGCGGTATCCCAGTTTAATAACTGTAGCTTTGTGAAGAAACTTGCTCTGTTAAGAGTAAGTTGTATTGTCTTATGAACTTGTGGGTATATGAATGGCACGGAGACTTGCCACTCTGACAATTGGAATTGAATCTGGAATTACATTCAAATGTTTATGTAGTACTGCTCTGCTGCTGGACATACATCTAGATGCTCTGTTTCAGGAGAGCTGTTGTGCAATACTTGCTTAGTATCCTCTCTCTATGTGTGCATCTACCATGAGTTGGCAGACTTCCATCTGTTCATTAAAAATATTTTTAGTCACATATATATGGTGGGAAATATCTGTCCTTCCTCATATGCATAAAGCTTCTCTGGAGTTGATCTTTATTTAATATGATGAAATGGGAAGGTGGAAATTATACTTGACAGGTTGTTTTTTGTGTCCAATCTTCTCAAAACTTTCAGAACTGAAGAAGATGGATTACCTGTGTAAGCATCAGGTGACTGCTTCTCTTTAATATTTCAATGCTGTCAATTTTCTACAGCTCTTTAAGACACAAGAAATTGAAACTTACTGAGAGATAACTTTCAAAAATGTAACACCATAATATTAATCACATGAGTATTTTTATGTATTCAGGACCCATTAAATTATTTCCTAAGGAGAAAGCATGACAGACATTTATTTGAAACTGCAACAAGGATTACAGTTTAAAGAACATGACAACAGTATTTGTCAGAACATCTAAAATGAGTTTATGTATTCCTGAATTTATTGTCTGACCAGTCAGACTCACCATAATATAGCCATTTATATGTACTGGGTAAATAGAAAGAGCTGTAAGAGTGTAACCTTTTTACACTAATAGATGTTAGTGTTGAACAATTTTAATCCAAAGGAGACTGCTTGCACTCAAACAATTTGATTGGAAATATAGAAAATAAATGCTGCTGCAGATTGCCCAGCAATTTATGGCTATTTTTCTAAATGCAGATTTTAAATTCAGAATTATTTTTCTTGCAACAAACTTATTCATAAAACTTGAAGTATTTTAAGTAGTTCAGTACCATAGAGTTCCTGTAATCTGTTTCCTGTTAGGCACAAGTCATGGAAATGCTGATTTCTGACTACACACTTGCTGACAGGGCTACTTTCATTTCCATGAGGAAATCCTTGCAACTAGTTCTTGATAAAAGGAAATGGAATGACTCGTTGTTCTTGCTTTTCGTGACTTAATTTGTTTTGTGTACAGAGTTGGTCAGTAAGGCTTCATTGTAGGCTTAATTAAGTGTTTACTTGTCTTGCTTTCTCTAATGGCTTGCTATCAGGGGACATCTGTGTTCTAGATACAGAAGAGCTTTCTTACTCAGGTAGTATAGAAAAGGAAATCTCAGAATGAACAGCATCTTCTGTAGAGAGTTTTGGTAGCTCTGAGTAAAAAAGAGAAAACTGCCAATGGGCTTCAGAGTAATTAAATAGTGCCTGTATGGGAGAGGACTACTTACATTTTGCATTCTCTTACACAATTTTACATTTGTTTTCTATTGAGTAGTGACAGGACCACCCTCAACAGATGGTGGTTTACCTACAAAATGATACTCAGAACAGTCTTTCAAACTGATCTGGAAGTCTATTACCTAGAGCCTGATGTTATACATGACTACAGAAGATTGTCTTTCTCCTCTATGCAACTTGTAGAAGAATCTGCATCTGGCTTCACTGTCTGTTCTACCAGTGGATGGTAACTGCTTATGAATGGGAGTGGAAGGTTTCATCAGTTCTCTCTACTAGATGCTGCATTAATTTATTTTTAAGTAGGCCAGTACTGGTCTTCCAGTGATCACAACTATTACTGTTGTCTCTAGGAAGGAACCAGTAAAAACACCCAATGAAGAAAAAGTGTATAAGACACATAATTTCCATGTACAGAATTCTATATAGTATGTGTGGGAAGGAGAAATGTTGAGAAAAAATGACACAAACAGTGTGGATGGCATATGTGCATGTTGACTGTAGTAAATTGAATAGCTTTTCCTCCTTGCTACCACATACGTCTGTCTCATTATGCTAAATACACAGCCTTAACTCTGATTGCTGCTTTTCATAAATGTAACTACTGAATGGAGAAGTTGTGGAAGGGCTGTATAGCTTTTTCTAAAGCAGAAAAATAATTTCTCTCTGAATTGAGACCCCATACTTAATTTGGTTTAGGTACACATATGTCTCCAAACATGAGCAGAATGTCATCAGTTTAGTCATCAGAACTGTTGGTCATGTGAAGGGTTTTGAAGTCTGGATGTTCGTGCTTTTAGATAGAGCTTGATATGGGTAATACAGGTTATACTTCACATTAGATTTACAAGTGAAGACATACCTTTTAGTTGTGCCAGATTTAAGCTACATAGGCCCTCAAATCTGTAAGCCTGCTTTTGACTTGCTGCTTTATTTAAACTTTAATGTATTTTGCATGTAGATTCTTAACTTCTGATAACTATTGATAGTGTTTAAGAGATGAGGCTTTCAGGGGTCTCCATTGAGGAAAGTATCTGTTCTGTTTCTCTGTCATGCTTTCTACTATTCATTGTGAAGTCAGGAAAAAGAATAGGACTGATTAGAAAGCCTAATTTAAGTGGAAAAATAATTTACTTTGCAGTAACCTTCAGTTATAGTTAGAGAACAAGATAATGATGGCAGCTGGTTGTTCAGGCTCATTCAATTCTCTAAAGATTTCCCTGGTTACATTTCTGATGGTTTATCAGGAAGGCTGCAGCCAGAGACTGGGTCATGAGAGTGCTACCCTTCCTGCATTTCTAAACTGGCAGGAAATTTATGGAACTCTAGTGTAGAAAAGGCCCCTTTAAAAGCTTCAATAATGTTTAGAAGCAGCCTATGTTCAGCTCATTTTGATAACATGTTGTTTTAGCTGGAAGAAACACCTTAAAGAACATTTCACAAAGGAGAATTTTATTAGTTTTTCAGGAAGAAATGCCTAACACTTATTTGTAAGTGTTTGTAAGTTTGAGTACAGTAACAACTTTGGAGAAATTAAATAAGAATTATATTCTGTATTCTAGTTGAAAATACCAGTGAGGTCTTAATTATAATGCAGTGACATTAGGGTTTATATTAAGTAGCTACATAAAGTTAATAAGTTAGTGCACCAGTATTCAAAGTTATCGTGGGCTTTAAACTGCAAAGAAAAATGTTTAGATATGTGTGAAAGTGGAAAGAAAATATTTAGACTGGTACTTGAGTAGGACAACATTTAAATAAAGTTGCATTTTCTACTAATTGGTTCTACTAAGTTCTTATCTTTCTTTTACTTTTCAAGTTTGTAAAAGCCTTGCTCTGTGGAGAGTCCTTTTAGAGTTTGGTGTATTTTCATGTGTTTTGTTTAGTTTTGCTTGTACTTTTAACAGATTGTAATGGCACTTGTACCAAACTAATCCAAATTTTGGTGCACTTTTTCAGGTTATAGCTCACTGCAGCCATGGAAACGATGATTTTATAGGTGTTTTTTTCCTTTTGCTTTGTTTTTCCCAAAGCTGGAAGAAGTAAAGCAAATAATCCTGGCTAGTAATCTGTATCAAATTGCCTTCAGTTATTTATTATTTGTAAATGTATGTGTCTCTGTGTGGTGTCCTTTAAGGCAACTCGAAACTTAGTGGAAGTGGACTTAACACAGCTGCTGTGAAGTTTTTCCATCCACCCATGACTGCTTCGCCTTATTTAAGATGGCAGATCCCTACATGCCTTCTCCTCCTAGCCCCACCCTCTTCTGCTGAGCAATGTAGCTTGTTTGTGTCCTTGCAGTGATCCAGATCAGTGATTCTTGTTTTTGTTTGCCAGCTTTATTTTTCAGTTGTATAATTTCCCTGATAAGGTTTGCTTTATGGCTACATAAACAAATTTTTGCAGAACTGAATAGGCAGAAAGGAGGGCTATAAGACCAAATTCTCAGGCTTTTCTCACTCACAGTATAGAGCTGTCTTTGTTAAAAGTCTAGGATTTTAAGAAGGATGTGAAGCTATTTCAGTGTATCCAGAAGAGGACAAGGCTGTTGAGACTGCTGGAGGACATGTCCTGTGTGGAGCCACTAAGGACTTTGAGCTTGTCTGGTTTGGAGAAAAGGAGACTGAGGGGTGACCTCACTGCTCTCTACAGCTTCCTGAGCAGGGAAAATTGTGAGGGCAATTTACCTCCCTGGGAGCTAAGGATAAGACATGCAAGAATGGTTGAAAACTGTGCCGGGGAAGGTTTAGATGGGACACTAGGAAGGATTTATTTACTCTGGGAAGGTGGTCAGACACTGGAATGTGCTGGCTTCCTAGAGATGGTAATAAATGCCCTGACCCTGTCAGTATTTAGGAGACATTTGGACAATGCCATTTAACACCATGATTTAATTTTTGGTCATCCCCAAAGTGCTCAATCAGTCAGGCTAAATGATTGCTGTAGATTCCTTCAGGCTGAAATAGTCTATTCTATTCTATGCTATCACATCCTGTTCTTCTTTCCCTGCCGAACATGTCTGCAGTTTTCCTGAGAGCACACTTTACACCTTATGTAGAAGCAACATTATGGATCTGAAGCTTTTGTGAGGGAGGAGGGGAATGGATAGTCTGACAGGAAAACTTTTATAGTAGCTGTGCTATTATGCTGTGCTTTGTCTTCTTTACATTTCTGTTTTTGCTTTTTGCTGTCAGGAGGAAGTTCATCAGAGTGCCAGAGGTCATAAGCTGGCTGAGTTTGTTAGTCAGTCCTTGCAGGGTCTCAGTTTTAATAGTGGGGTGTGCCTTACTCACTGGAAAACATCTTAAAACTAAACTTAAAGATAGACAAAGAGAAGCTACTAGTGAGAAGGATAAGATTAGAGATTTTATTTTTTATTTAGCTAGCTTTACAAAATACAGGGGAAGGAAAATGAAGTGTGAAGGATTGGGAAGTAGACTATCAAGTAATCCTGACTGAATTTTAGTTCATGTAAAACTATGAAAAATATGAGAGGATAAAAAGAGAGTACAGTATTTAGTATGTGTTTAATATGATGGGAAGTGAAAAAATGTAAGTCCTCTAGAAGTCTGCAACAGCCTAGGAATGTATAATAGGTAGTGGTAACAGCTGAGGTGATTTTAGTTTAGTTTACACGTATGGGATTCATGGGAACTAACAGCAATTGCTAAAAAACAGAGCATTAGAAATAATTAACTTCCTGATGAAGTGATTAAAATGAAAAGCAGTTATTAAAATGCATAGGTTCAGCATGTTGTGTTTCATAGTACTACTTTCTGTTTATCTTTAGGGAGAAAGGAACAATGGCTTTGATGTCCTTTATCACAATATGAAACACGGACATTTGTCAACTAAGGACTTAGCAGATTTTATTAGAGAAAGGTAAGTATTCATCCTATATTTTTAATATAGTATTTATGGGTTTTGTTGTTTGTCATTGCATTTAACAGTAACGTGCAAAATATGTAAGCAAAATTAAATTACCAAAACTCAATTATCATTTTAATATACCTCTCATATTCTACAGGAGTTTCTATAGTTATTCCATTTGCTTAGAACTGAATAGGAACTCTTAAAAATCAATTAATAACAAGCTTCTAATTTCTCAGGTTTCAATTAAAGGATGAAAGTAAAAATCTAGAAGTGCCATATTAGATGTCCAGCAGTTTATTTAAATTAATCCAAATTTTTCATTTTGGTTGGAAGAAATATTATAATTTAAAGTTGCAAAAATTATCAGTCTTGCAAAGTTCTTACTATAGATTAGGAATTAGGCTTTAGCAATTGCTAGTATAAATTTTAAAAAAAATATACTTTCAGAAGCTAAAATACTAGGTTTGTTAAAGAGAGTGATACATAGGGACAAGAAAATAATATGCAGAAAATAACACAGGTTCTTCTATACTGGATTCTATATTGGATGGAAGGAACAGAACTGAAATATGAAAATATGACAACTTCCAAAACAAGTGACCTAGTGCTGCATTTAGTTCTTTGTGAAAGAACACTGCTGCTGCTACATTGAACATATGTGTTTCCCTTCTGAGCAAAATTACCTGCATGCCTGCTTCAGAATTTTGTCTTTCCTCAGTTACTGACACTAGATGACACAGTTCCAAGGTGTTAATTGAGGACCTATTTCAATGCTGGCTTCTTGTAGTAGGAGCTGTCAAAAAAACTGGAATTATTCTTCAAAATATTAGTTTTGGCCTCCAATAGATCTCAGTTTTAAAAGTACTTTCAAATTTCAAAAAAATCTAACCACCACAGATCTGACAGACACTCCATTGCACTAACTTTAGTGTCATTCATTTCAAAATGAATTGGAGAAAATAAAAAAAATGTTTCACTAAGTAGAAATGGGTGTGTTCCAGAGTCCAAATGTGATGTCTCCTTTTGGAAAGACTGCACAACCCAAGGAATCTTCTGTTTTACAAGTCCTCAGTTTTGGAGAATGCATTATGAAGCTAGGTCTGGTGAACTCCTGAGATGGGTTGAGCAGAGGGATGTCACACTGTTCACATTTAGTATAAATGCTTAATGCTTCACAAACTTGCACTTTTAGTATTTCACTAATAATTAAATTTAATTTAATAGTTTATTAATAATTTACTTTATTTAATAATAATTTTAAAATATTTTGCACTTTAATATTTTCCTTTTGTTATCTGTGTGAGTTCCTGAAGCCTTCCTTTGAAAGCTTCTTTAGTTTTTGAAATCATTCAATTTATACCAGCATACCAGCACATCATGGACCTAAGCTGTACCTTACCTGGATACATTGAAATTTATTGGTTTTACATCCTTTGTGTTTAGATTTACTTTTATATTTAGATGAGAAACTCTGTCACTCTCTCTGCTTTTTGTCTCCTTTATGTTGTATTCTTTGTGCATGCTCCATTTTATTCATATTGGTCATAAGATGAAAGGTCTTAAGTAAATGGGTAAAAAACAACTTGCTGCTGTATCTGACTTGGTTTCTTTGCTTTATTATAAAAGTTAAACTTTACAGTAAATATAAAGTATAAATATAAAAATAAAAATATAAAGTAAAACTTTACAGTTCTTTCTACACTAAATCCCAAGTAAAAAGAATATGGCATTCTGGGTTTTTTTCTATTTATAAGCTTCTGCAAATTGAATTTTTAATTTAAATAATTTTAAAATTAAATAATTATTTTTAAATAACTTTTAAATTATGTGCCTTTGCAGTCAATAAAGAAAATCTTTGGACCTTTTTCCATAGTTTCTTTGGAACCTTATCCTCCATGAGAGTTCAATAAGTGTTTTTTCCTATGTGTGGATCAGGATGTGCCAAAGAGATATGCAGCCATCTTACAGCATTTTTTATAAGTTCTTTAAAAAAAATTCCGTTCTCATTAAGTTCTCACTAAGACAGAATCTGAGTGATATATTGCAATTTGCTTGACAAAGCTGCAGTATTGTTCCTTAAGGGGAAGTTGCCCATGTCAATGATGCAGATCAGCTGCACTAAATTCAGTCCTTTCCAGTGACTTTCTTCCATCAGGATATGAAAGTTCCCTTATGTATTCCTCAACCCTGTTTTTCAGCTGCATCTCAATAAGCCAGGCTGCAATTGGTATAGAGAGACTTCAAATATATGGTGTCCTTACTTTAATTAAAATATTTGAGTCCATATGCATGCAGTGAAGCCCTTTGCTGATGTTGTGAAGTTACTGTGGGATGTCATTCAGCTTCCTGTGAAATAAAAATGGTTCAGTAGAACACATTTTTTCACATGGGCAAAATTCTTGGTCTTAAAAGAAGTTGGATTGGGCAGTACTTGAGCTGTATTTTGCAATGGTTCAGTTGTCTTGTCTGTGATCAATTTTGCTCATTTGTTAAGTGCAAAGTTAAGAGATGTTGCACACAGTTATCTGTTCTCCTCATTCTGCAGATTATAGTCTGAATATTATTTTACAGTACTGTGTTCTGCTGGAAATATGTTAAGTGGATGAGCAACATGTATTAGGAGCTATCTAGATCTAGTGTTTTTATGCCTTGACTCTTGTGTACCTGATTTTCTGAACTCTTCCCTATGAAAACTGATTTTACATAAATTTGAATTTCAAATCTGTTCTTTCATTGCTTTTTACATATTGGCCTTTTTCTGTCTTTTTTTTTTTTTTTTTTTTTTTCAGAAGTGGATTCATAAGTGTGAAAACTGAAAACTGTTGAATAGGTAGAGACAGATCTGAGTTGGTGGTAACACTTTAAACAAGTTGGGGTACTTACCCTTTCTAGGTAGAGCAGTCATCTGGTCAGCTGGGCTTGCTAGAGTCTCCAGTCTAGCCAGAAAATATACTTTTTGTGAAGTGATTTTGCATGGAAAGAATAGATGGGTCAGTGCATTTGGATTAACAGACTGCTTAGGGCACAAAGGACACATGTCTGTGTGAAGTCCATCTCTGTTACTTGTGCTGCTCAGAGCAGTGTTTTAGTTGTGAGTAGCCTAATTGGGGAAAAATATTGTTTCCTTTTCTCCAGTCCTAGAAATGGCAATGAAAAAATGTGTAAGATATGGAATAAATTTTCAAATTATTGTTCTCTTAAGCATTTATATTTTAAAAATATTTCAAAATTTCTGTAAGAACATTCTGAGATTGTAAAGTCTTTTTCTCTAAGAAAAACAAGCATTTGAAATGTATTCATTTGGAATAGTATTTCTATGCTGTATCTGCTGTTCCTACTTGATATCCTGAAAGGAGCAGAAGTTTTCCTCCTTGTCTGTGTTCAGTGAGTCAATACCAATACAATTTTCACTTTTTCAGTTTTGTTCTTGAGTATTTGTTATTGATCATGTACTAAAAGAACTGAGAGCCAGTTGGATCTGTGGCTGAGAAATTTGTCATCTGAAGGAGTGAGTTTTCTGGTAGGCAGTCTGCTTAATGTTGGTAAATCTTGAGTGTAACAGGTTATCTATCTGCTGAAAGATTAGACACCAGTTCTTAAAATCATCAAATCATAGGATGGTTTGGGTTAGAAGGGATCATAAAGATCGGCGAGTTCCAACTGCCCGTGCTGTGGTCAGAGACATTGTTCACGAGACCAGATTGCTCAATGCCCCATCCAACCTGGCCTTGAATAAATGTCATGCTTCATTGATAAAGCATGTAGAAAGTTTTGGTTTTTGAAGAAGTGGAAATAGGAAGATTGAGCTGCCTGCATAGTTGTTTTTTCTTTATATATGGGGAAGATTTTGTAGGTGAACTGTCATGTGTTTGTGTGCATTTAAAATTGAAACTTTTTATATCTAAGAAATCATTCTGCTTTTCTAGGAAAGAAATAGATACAGGAATGTGTTGGTTTTTTCTCCAGGTGTCTTTCTAATGTTTTTCTGCACCCGTTGCCTGTAAGCATCATAGAAAGAATCTTCTAGGTCACATGAAACTAGCAATATATATTTCCATTTAACTTTTAAATGTTTAGCAGATCCCAGGCAAAGATGTGTTCAAAAGGGTGAAAATTAATTTACTAAGAGAATTATAGTCTGTTACCTGTACAAGAGAGTCCTCTGCAAAGTTAGGTGATAGGACAAATGTACTAACTGGTCATCTTTTGGTTCTTGGTGTTTTTAACTGATGTATGTTAGTACTCTGCGGTGAATTGCAGAACTTCAGTTTAGTGAAGATAGTTCATGGAAGTATGCTGTGAATTCGTTCAAAGAAAAGAGATGTGGATTTTGGTCAAAATTCTTGTATTTAAAGAGGCAAAATAAGGCACTAAGTTGTAAAATCTAGAAAACTTCAATAGACGATATGGATGATTAGTCAAAATATATTGTTAATCATGGTAATTTAAAAAAAAATAGTCTATGTTTGGAGCATGTGTCCTTGCTGTTGTGCAGTGTGCAGGATTTCCAAGCCTTGGGAAGTTGAACTTTTTCTTATCATCAAAGATATGATCATATGTGGAAGGAGAATAAAGATAATTGACTTCCTTTTATGGTGAATAACTTTGAAGTAGATGATATTCAAAATTAAATTAATTTGTTGCATGTTGCATTTCAATCTCCTCCATATAGATTTCCAGCTAACTAACTGTAAAGTTGTTTTGGAAGTTTAGTAGGTTTTAACACATGTTCCTGTGTTTCAGGTGAATACCCCTACTTTGTTTTCATATTTTTACAAGACAATTCTTTTTGTAAACTGTTGCACTACAGGAAAAATAAAAACTTCTGTCTCTGGTTATAGTCATGGTATAATTTGCAAGGGGGATGAATTCTTCATCTTCCTTTTTTTCTTCTCTTGTGTCCTATGTGAAGGTATTACACAGCAGGAAAGAAATTGCTCCAAGCTTTTCAAGAAAAGCCAATTACAACATTTACTCAAATCTAGCATTCTTCTACATCTGAGTTGACACTACGCAATGAATATTTGTTTAGGGTGAAAAATTAAAATACTCTTTAATAATAGGAGTGTTAGGAAGATTAATATGGAAGGACTTGCTGGGAGTCACTGCTGTAATAGTTGATTCCATGGCAAATGCCCTTGCAGAGACTCTGAGGAGAAAATCTGTGCCAACCCTTGGATTTTGCATCTTTAAAAGACAAGTGAAATTGTGTGTTCAAGTGGAGGAAAATATAAGAACACTTTGTGTAGTTTCCAAACTCAAATATCACCGTGTGAAGAACTTAAAGGAAAAACAGCCTAACAAGAAGACTAAACAAGACCTCATTTTGTTTAGTGTGATTGCTCAGAAAATATTGTTTGTTTATTGTAAAGTTTTCATTACAAATAGATTTTATTTTGTTGCTGTGTAATACTCTCCTGCTTAGACAGTGCTGGATGGATGGTTGTTATGATGCTTTGTTCTGTCTGTTACTAAGGGATATTAATGGCAGTTGAGAACAGCAAATAGAGAGGAAGGAATTGTCTTTTTCAACTTTCACTTCCTGGATTTTATTTGTTTTGCTCCTGCAGTCCCCTTTGTCACAGGATTCTTAGATTATTTTTTTAAATGTACAATGTGATTTTTTTGTGTAGTTTTTGAGAGATCATTTAAATGGAGTAATTTTTAGCTCATGTAAAAAGCCTTCTGTTTTGTACCTTTTGAATGACTGTTCAGTCTTCATACCTTCAAATTTTTGATTATGCTTTTGATGGTTTCTTTGGCAGGGCTACAATAGAGGAGACATATTCAAGGTCAATGACAAAACTAGCCAAATCAGCAAGCAATTACACACAACTTGGGTAAGTAAGTGTACATAAGAGAGAATAAGTGAATGTAAGTACCTGGTAAGAATCAAGTTGGATTCTGAATGTTTTATTGATGATGTTGAAGGTTAGTATAACTTTGCCACCTTTAAAAATGATAGGTCTTTAGTAACTATGCAAAAATTTGTGCAGCTATGACAAAGAGAAAGCGCAGTTCTTTGAAACTGAATAAAAAGACCAAAGCTCAAACATGGATAAACTGTCTTTTCCTCTGTGTTTAAAGCTGAGTTATTTTCAGACATAGTGACTTCTATTACATCCTCTCAAGCTATGGAAATTATTTTGAAGAGAGAACATATGGCCTGCAAATGTGGCAGAGAATTTATTTATTTACATTATTTCTGGTTTTTGGAGTGTTGTCTGTTCTCAGAGATGTTCAGAATAACACTTTTCCATAGATTTATTCCATAGTTAAATGGAAGTTTTATACATAGGGTATGTTTTTAAAAACTGGAATGATTAACGGATGCTTTTGCATTAGGAAGATTAGGCCAATGAAAACTTAGACTTAGACTTCTGAGAAAAATTAGGGGTTTTTTGTTAATTTATTGCAACGTAATCTAGAAATGTGGGGAGTTTTCATTAGTGGATAATTTGATAATAGTTGTTGCTGCTCTTTAAACTAGCAAGCAGATACAGAACCTTTGAACATAAGAGCTTTAAAGCCTATGGTTAGTATTGATTTTTAGCAGCATTAGCCAGAATGGCAAGGCAGAAGTATATCTTTGGAATACCTGGAGAAGGTCCATTCTGCACAGAAAAATGAATATGAGAAATTATCCTGCCTCTTTTTTCATTTTTATTAATCAGTAAATCCCTTTTATTGGCGAACCATCTTTGCCAATATTTTTTTTCCTCCATTTTGTGGTTGTAATGATGTAAGACAACTAGAAATGTAACTAACCAAGAAATTCCTGATTTGTTCACTGTTCAGGTGTATACACAGTAGTACTTACTACATGTTAAATTATTTTAAGCTTTTCTTGCACTGTCTTGACACTTGGCATTATTGTGTGCTCATCATAGTATTAAATACAATTTGCTGTGTTTTACTTATTAGAGTCAATACAAGTAGAACATAAAACATGGAAAAAATAGTAGGTGGGATGCCAGGTACATTTGGAACATATTTAATAAGAATTTATGGCAGTTGTTGGTTTTTTTGTTTGTTTAAAATTTGGGAGGAGACATGAACTGTAAATTTACTGATTATTCTTTAGCACTACTAAAAAAGTTGTCAACTGAAGGAAAAAAAAACCCAGATTAACATTATTTTCCTCAATCCAGGACATTTGCGCCAGTTTGGGATGTTTTCAAAACCTCAACAGAAAAACTAGCAAGTTGTCACTTGGATCTTGTGCGGAGGTTACAAGAGCTAATAAAAGAAGTTCACAAGTATGGAGATGAACAGATCAAAGCTTATAAAAAGGTTATTAATTCTTTTTGTTATGTATGTCCAATGACTTTTTAACACTAAAATTAAAATGGTTTGGTTTTGACAACCATGTGATATTTGGCAGACTAAAGAAGATGTTTCAGGAACTTTGGAAGCAGTGCAAAATATTCAAAGTATCACTCAGGCCTTGCAGAAATCAAAAGAAAACTACAATGCAAAGTGTGTGGAACAAGAACGCTTGAAAAAGGAAGGAGCAACACAGAGAGAAATTGAAAAGGTAGCTCTGTCACATCTTACTTTATTTGTATTAATAGTTGTCTTGTATGTTCACCTTGTATTAGTAAGTTGAATGCCCAGAAAGAATTAAACATAGTTAAAAGTTGTGAGTAATTTGCAATATACATATCATTAATACTTAGATATGTTTTATTTACACTTACTTCCTCGTCTGTTCTTATTGTACTGTAGTTCTAATTCTTCACTTTGTTAATACCTGCATCAATGATAGTTTAGTGTAGTGGTTTTAACAGAAATTGTGCCCTATTGTTTCAGAATCTCATGTTTTTGAATACATTTCCTTAAGTGAATACTCAGTGCCCTTGTTACTGAACTCAGGAGTAATTGTGTTATCCCTGCAATGAGACAAAGTAGCTGAGTACATGAGTATTTGAAGTCTGTTGAATAAAGAAAAGGATATCAACACTTTTACTGCTGTTTTAAGAGATTCCAATCTCATGAACCAGAGACTCAAGGGGTGAGCGTCTTGTGGTGTATTTAGTACTGTCCTTGGGTTACGGTGGAGGGGTTGATCCATCCACAGAATCAATCAGCTTGTGGGGTTGACAGGGACCTCTGAAAGTTGCTCAAGCAGGGCCATCTCAAGCCAGTTACTCAAGACCTCATGAAGACAGCTTTTTAGTATCTTCAAGGATGGAGATTCCATGGACGCTCTGGGCAACTTGTGCCAGGTCTCCATCACCTTCACAGGAAAGAGGTGCTTCCTGGTGTTCAGAGGGAGGGAACCTTTTGTGTTTTCTGTTAGTGCCCATTGACTCTGGTTCTATCACTGGGCACAAAAGTGATTCTGTTGACTATGTTTCAATTGTTTTACTTTGTTACAAATCTACCTTTTTTCTGTCTCAAATGACAGTTCATGCTGGATTGTAGAGATGAACCAGATGTGTGTTGGCAGATATTCTCCTGCCAGTGTATTCAAAGTATAATTTTTCTGAATTCTTGTAAGTAGAGTTTCAGTAGGAAAGATTGACTTGAGGGAAGGCTTTTTAAGATGTAGCATTATCTTTTTTCGTTTGGAAACAAGAAACTACTCAGCATATCTGTATGAGAAGGGAGAAAAAGGAAGCACTATAGGAGGAGTGCAATTTTTTTACTGTTTTATGCATCTTCCTTAGAAGATTCAATTATGTCATAATTGATTGCTCTGCAAGTACATAAAATATGTTTCCAGTGGGAACAAGTAGCTGACACTGTCACATCTCTTCAGTCATGCCTCTATTCAAGTTTACACTTGCAATTTTGTAAACAGAATGACCAAACTTTGTATTTATTTTTGCTTTGGTAGAAAATAGATTCAGTGTTAGAACAGAAATAGTATTTCAGTGCAACATGAAAACTATTTACTGGCAAAATCACAGATTAACTTTTTTCTCAGCAAGCAAGGGATCTGTACCAGTGTACACAGTGTACAGAGTTTATCACAAAGCCAAATGTTTGGAGAGATACTTTATTGAAGAATCTAAGGAGGTATCTGAGGCCTTACAAGTCTCATTGCAGCTGAAAGTTAATATTAACTTGTGTAATAATTTCCTGTTGTTCTCTGATATGTAAACTTCTCTTTTTATAGTGACTTAACAAAAAATAGTTGACTGATCCTTATTCTTTCACATACTGTAAATCTGATCACATACTGTAAATCTGGTAAATACAGTTCTAGCAATTGCTGTATCTGGGAGTAGTCACATTATATTTTCAGAAGAGATTACTAGTTAATCATACAGTGTCCATATGTTTTATAATTTTTTCTGTCCTGCTGAGTACTTTGTATTTTGATCACTTTTCAGCATGTAATACTGGCATAAATATCATTAAACATGATGGGAGATGGAGAATGTTTTTGTTTTGTCAAAGTCCCTTGCACATAGGGTTCAATTAAAAATGTTTTACCAAAAAGGAACCCATTTCTACATTTTTTAGCTTGACATTTTCTTCCATTTCAGTGATTAAATTTGAAATCAACTTCAAAGCAGTCTTAATTTTCAAATCAAGATTTCATGGAGCATGTTTTATTTTCAGCATAGTAAATGACAGTTGGGAAACATGATAAAACTGTGCGCTTCTCAGTGATTCTTCTGTTTAAATGTGTAAGAGTGAGAATCATAAAGTAAAATTCAGGATAATAAACTGATACATTTGATACAACTTTTCTGAATAATCCATGTTCTTGTTACATTAAGTACTTTCACGCTGTTATGCTATTATGCTGAGTTTAGAAGACTTTGTGACTAAGATCTGCCTAGGCTTTCTTTGTAACTGGGTGTTACACTGGGCAAACAACTAGCTTTGGTTCCTATTTATTTGAGGTGTTAATATGTATCTGGTATATTGTAACTCATGATTGAAATTGCGGAATCTGTCTCTCTCCCTCTTGCCAGAGGGCATCTCTTAATTAATTGAAATTATAGATAGCAGTCAGCTTTACAAATCATTGTAAATAAAAAATAGTTTTTGTTAAACAGATTAAATTTATTTGAAAGTAGAAGTAGGGCTACTCAGCTAGAACAAATAGAGAATACACAATTCTCTTTACTGATGTCATGAACAATTCAGAAATACTTCTATGTTACAACTGATGGGAAATTTCAGAGAGATAGTAAGCATGTTCAATAAAGAAGCTAGGAAAGAAAATGGTGTTCAAGATGATTTTTATTGGCATTTAACCTGGAAATAGATTATCAAAGGTTTGAACGACTTCATCTCATGCATCGTGCTGTAAACTTTGAAAATAACTTTTTCTCTACTACAATCAGTCTTAATTCAGTTTTGTTCTCCATGTAATACTGAGATTTTCCTGTATTTTGTTTTGTGTTTTACTTCACTCGCAGAAGGAAGATTTTGGTTTATTAGCAACAAATAAGGAAAAGTATAAATCTCTAAAGGCCTATTAATAATAACACTGACCTGCCTAAATCCGCCCTTCACTACATTTTGCATTAGCTTCACTTTCAAATATCTGCTAATCCATTGATGTAATTTGCATACTTTTGAGTTTCTTTCTTAATTTCTAAGACAACTTCTCTGTCACATTTTTTTAGCATGGATTATTCCAATGCATTTATAAGTATTTGCTCTGTAGTCTAACCCTTCTTTATTTCCTACTTTGTTGTTGCAAATATAAATTTGTTGTTCATATTTGACAAGATTTAATGATTTATCTTCAGCACTAAAACATTTATTTCAAAATCAGTTTTATTATAAATAGTTTTATAAAATTTTCATTGCTTATAAGGAGAAGGGATTTAATTGAGTTAATTTGTTACACTTGTATATGATTTATGTATAGTAAAATTGCTCTTATCTGAGATATTTGGTGTTGAAATTTTGTTATGATACTTCTCTGTTTTGGTATGCCCCTGGATAATTTTTAGAGATCATCCTAGGCTTTCTTTTAATAATGACTTTAAAAGCTTGTATTTGTGACATTTTACACATTTTTGTATTGACCTGTAGGCAGCAGTTAAAACTAAAAAAGCAACAGATACTTACAAACTGTATGTGGAGAAGTATGCTGCATTTAAATCTGATTTTGAACTGAAAATGACAGAAACAGCACAGGTAAGTGTTGCATTCAATGAACCTTCAAATTACCTTTGAAGTCAGTTAATGTATTCTATTTAATTTCTGGAGCCATATGAAATTGAGAATTTCAAAAACTCGTCCTTTTGGAAATTGATTTGTTTGAAGGGCAAACACTGGCTACGTATGTTGTAATAGCACTGTCGTTCAATGACACAGGGGTGTACTGGCACTCTAGAAGACATTTTGAAGAAATTTTTGGAAGAAAGCAAAATGAACTTTTGGAAGTATTGTATATGCATTGTGTTTATGTGGAAAATCCTATGAATTGCTGGGCACCCTGAACTTACTCAATGGAATTTTAATATTGGGATCCATTGTGGCTTTTCATTATTATTCCATCAAAGCACTGAAGTTCCAGTTTGTTAAAATATCTACCCAGGATTTACCTGAAGTTATGAAAAGCTGTTACAGCTGTTTGTTTCTGGGGATTTTTAAAAGACTATATTCTGGAAGATTTCAGGTTCTCTGTATCAATGCATATGCCAGTTCTTGCTACATTTTAAACTACATTTGGCTAAATATCCTTTGTTCCTAAACTGTAGCTATCCTTTTACTTAAAATATAAATTTTCACTTAATGTTATAATGGACATTTGTAAACTTTCCACATCTATCCATATTGGAAATTAAAATTGCCATTCTGCCAATTAAAGATATGTGTGTGGAATTCATTTAAAGTATAATGGTGTAGCTGCATCCACAGTTTGGTTGCACAATGGCTACTTTAAAGATGATGTGATAGGAAAAATAATATCCATGAATATATGGATGCCCACTTCTGTGTGAAGCACACCCTCTATTAACTTAATTCAGCATACATTTCACTTGAAAATATGCTGATTAGTTCTGAAAATTAAACAAGTGAGGGATATGAGTATTTTCATTTGTTTCAGTGCAAAATCAGTTGGTTTAGCTTCAATCTGTTTTACGATGTCCAGTAAAAGAAGTAAAATCATGGGGTAGGCTACAGAGTACAACAGTATCTTCTGTAATTAAGAGGAAGGCTGGTGAAGAAAAAGAAAATAATTTTAATCTCCTTGAGTGATGATACCTACAGAGGTATGTAAGTATGGCAGGAAATTGAGGGTCTAAGAAGGTAGAAATGTTTGTCTTATATGTATGGAGTCACGTTTGTGAATCAGAGTTGCAGGAGGTACAAGATGGGGATCTTCACAGAGCCCTGTGCAAATTGGAAAGAGGATTAAGTGGTGCACCAAAGTTTGGACACACTTGAAAGGGCAGTTACAGAAATAGGCAGAGAACTAGGAAAGAGCAGAAGTAAACAAAGATTTCAAGACTGTTATGGTTTACTGTTGGGGAGGATGAGAACATTTTTAGTTCTGATTTTGGCCAGGAAGGGGCCATTGAAAACTTCGGAAGTGATTTTAAAATGACTGTCAGCTGACAGCCTGGGTAAAAAGGAAGAAACTGTAAAAATTATGTATGACTTTAAAAATCAAACAAATAATTTTTGAAGAAGCAAAGAACATAGATTTAACTAGAGAGAAAGAGTGTGTATGTTTACAAGAGTGTTCTAAAAAGGAAGTGCAAAACAGATCCAGAAATAAGATTTCTTGGTTTAGATGAAAAAACAAGACTCTTCAGTAATGGAGAAAAGAGAAAATTTGAACACCTTCTAAAAATATTTTCTTTCAGTAGAAATAGAACAGATTTTTTTTGAAGGGTTAGATGAAAGTTCAAAAAGTAAGTAAAAAAAGTTCAGTAATCATTCTGAAAGGATAGCTTTCTTTCTAAAGTGCATTATTTCATAACTCGCTGAATTCTGTGCCTTACTTTCTTAAATGTAATTATTATGCTTAAGATGTGGAGAAAAAAAGCGGCTTTTTTGTTCTTTTTTTCATTTTAGTGTATTTAATTATTGAAATTTAAGATTTAGTGTTTCAGGAAATATTTTCATTATGATTAATTGCTCATATTTGTTTGCAGAAATTTCAAGACATAGAAGAAATGCACCTTCTTCGTATGAAAGAGATTATACAGTCATTGTCAGATACCATAAAAGAAATTCATTTACAAATAGGAGAGGTATTTTTATACTATATTTGGATCATGCTTTATGTTTTTCCTTAACTATTAAATGAATTATTTATTACTTTGTGAAATTCATCATAATCTCAAATTTCCATGGCTTCCTGTTGCATTTTTAAGTTCAGTGTCACAAAATTTACAGAATAAGACTAGATAAATTTTGTCTTCACAGAAAATGAAGTATTTGGACAATTTGAAGAATTTGAAAGTTGAAGAATTTTTTGTGTATTTCTAAATTCTGTTTCCTGGATATTAATTTAACCCTCATTTCACACAGAATTAGGCTACTACTTTTTTAATTGGAACTAGAAATTATATCACTCTGAGAAGTTTCCAAGTATTTTATATTCTTGGATTCTATGAGCAAATGAAATTTAAGAACAGAAACTTCTATAATATCTTTTTTTTAGATGGAAGTTGGTTTAATTAATAATCTTTATAAACAGCCCTTAATTTTTTTATTTTTAAATTGTCACTTAGTTTGCTAACATTTTAGTATTGAGGTTTTCTGCTTTAATAAGTGATCATCACAAGGGTTATGCTGTTTATTTCTAAAGGATATGAGCATCATCCTTGTTGGAAAAACTTATTAACAGCATGTTGTCAGACCAAAACAACATGTTGTTATATCAAAACTATTACAACAGTAATGCTTTTTACTCAAGCAGGTGGGAGTTCTGATAATACAGTAGTAACAGTTCACACCCTAAACTGACACTGGGTGAAAAAACTGCTTGTCTTCCTGACATGATAGTGGGATATGTTGCTGACAAACTCAGAAAATTATGTATACACAAGTTGTTTAACATGGAAAAAATAGAAATAAAACCTAGAGCTGTGATTTCATTTTTTTGTCTGTATTGTACCCACACTTGCTAACGCTACAGCAAAGAACAAGATTTCCTGGATAAAAAATATCTGTTGATTTCTCTAAGTCCTGTAATGTATTTTAGAGGGAAGATTTTTGAACCTTAACTATAAAAAAACCTACTTTTTAAAGTTAATTGCATTCTTTTTTTTTTGAAGGTGCATGAAGAGTTTATTAATAATATGACAAATACTACAGTTGAGAGTTTAATACAGAAATTTGCTGAGTCAAAAGGAACTGGCAAGGAAAGACCTGGTAAGAGATTAACAGAGCAGGAAATGTTAGCTTTAAGGCTGGAAATTTCCATTCCTAATGAAAGGTTAAACCCGTATTTGTTAATGTGCTGTATTTTTAACCTATGTTCAAGTTCTTAGTATTCATTAACTTTGATACTAAATGGGTAATAGAAATTGATAATGCAGGGTTCATTATGTGCATGTATTATTTGTGTTCATAAAGCTTGGTAGTTTGTATGTCTGTTCTCCTAAACTATGCTGTTTCCTGAAACATCAGGGAAATTGGTCAAGAAGCTGTAGTTCCTTGTACAAACTATATGTTGTCTGTTATGTGTTTCTTGTACAAACTGTGATTCTGCATAAATTGTATTTCAGAATTTTATTCAATATAAACATGTTCAGAGCAGGTGTCTATAAAGCTGCTTATTGAAGTATTGGAAGAGTTGCGTCAGTTTCTTCAGGTTACCAAATTATCATTTTAATAGATATGCAATGTCTATTTTTTTATAAAATGTATTTTAATATACAATAATGTGTATTGCTTCTTTAGTAAGAAGCAAATTGAATAGTGCTTTCTGAAGGTACTGCTGGTTGGGTGTGATAAGACTTTCCTGGACTGGCGTAAAAAGATGTTCTCACAGTACTGCCTATATCGTATTACTTTAATATTGGCACGAATATTAAAGTCACTAGGTATCTAAATACCTAGTAAATTCCTAGTAAATAGGAATTAGTATTATTTCCTTCAGCCCTGGGTGTCCTCACTAGCATCTCTGTCTTGTAGTAGAGGCACACAAAGATGTTTTCTTTCCCGCAAGAATGTACATACCAGAGTAGATAATGAAAATTTGTAATAAATTGTTAAATATTATTAGGTGTCTTGCAATGTGTCTGTGAGGTGTTTTTAATATAACATTGTTTCATATTCTTTCTGTGATCCTCTAATGCTGATGTCCAAGTGGGATGAGGTAAGATTACATATGGAACAATTTTTGAAAGTTTCCTGTGTATTTGTCAATTTTCAGTAAAGATCAGAAAAGAAAATGTATAAACTTCAGGGTATCAAGGTCAGTTGGTCTGAAACAGGACAAAGATGTGAAAATTTGGTGTTCAGATGTCTTTGATTAGCTGTTGCCAAGATGTCATGGCTAGGGATCTCAATCTTGCATTTAAGATTCTGACTGCCTGGGTTACAAAGACTCTTACTAATTTGTCCTAGAACATTGTGCACTTCAGGTCATCCATGCTGTTAGTGTGGGTCTTGCCAGACAACATTGAAATTTTAGAAAGGTAATATTTCACTTTTTAATTTAATGGAGAAATTACACACATTTTATACTTACTTGCTTCTTTATAATTCTTCAAATCCCATCTGTGGCATAAAAAAATAAATACTTCTTCAAAGTATTCTCAGAAAGTTTAGCAAAATATTTTAAGGAACAGTAGCACATGTAGTGTGTAATGTATGGACCTTAAATTTTCTTTAACAGTATTAAATTGTTGTATTGATATCAACTTTATCAAGCAGAAATGGTGCAGGGAGAAAGCATAGTCAAATTCAGCAGCAAAAGTAGTTTGGAGGTTTAAGTTTGGAGTAGTTTGGAGTTTAAAGACTAGCAACAGACCACTAAAGATGTTAATTATGCTTACTGCTTCTAAAATATTTATTTTGTTAACTTAGAATCATAAAACTTTGATAGTTAGAAAGGTTTGGAAGACAAAGTGAGGTATCAGCCTTCTAAGAATGAAAAGGAAACATCCACTGTTAAGGACCGCTTTTTCTTGATTAAATCCCTGCTTTTTTGCATCTGAGAATGGTTCACAATGAAAAGATATTTTAAATCATGGAGCAAATGTTGAAAGTCTATGGGATGTATTTATTAATTAGGCTGAAGAGGGAGATGGCTCCTCAGAAAAATATAAATATTCAATGTAAAAAAATAATGCTGACTTGGCTTACAAAACAAATACAGAAAAACTGTCTTCTAGATGCCACTGTTGTTTGTGATATGATTAAAGGCAATACTTTAAAATTCCCCAGGACTATGTAGGCCTTCTTTCATCCGTTTTATTTGTGGGTTACTATGATCAGTGACATGGTGGGTACTTCCAGATAAAATAAACTAAAAAGGCAATGCATAACATATTATTTTAATTTATTTCAGTATATTCTACCTATTTATAATTCTGCACATTAGAGTTCGCTTGCTTTTATTTATATCTGTAAAAATAAGAATGAATCTGAAATGAAGTACTGATGAAGGCTGTTTTATTATGGAGAACTGCAAACCATTTACAGTAGAGTTTATTGTGTATCTGAAATGTATCTTTACAGTGATGTCTGTTTTATCAGATTATATGGGCTCCCTCTGGTGGCTAATTTCTATCACCTGGAGTTGTTATGCACAGGGGCATCTAGTACATGTACTTTTTCTTGTACAAGTAACAGGTTTTCTTTCAAACAGTAATGCTTTGTGAGAGGTTTTAAATTTACTCAGGAGCTTCTTTACGATGGCTCTTCTTGCACTGCTACCTAAAAAACTTACCTAGTCAGCTTTATAACGTGCTTCTCACTGAATTTGTTTTAATTTTTTCGCTATTAAATCAGTTTAGAATTTAGGGGCTTAAATAACACAACAGTTGTTGAAGAAATTATGATTTTTGTTTTCTGCCTTCCATTTAGTGTTAAAAAAATGAAACAAATGACTAAACCACTTACATCCAGTTGCAAATCTTTAATTTCACCTGAAAAGAAAGTCACTTAGTGTGAATCAGTGAAAAACAAAGCTGGCAGGACCAGTAAGGCTTCAGATCAGAATTTAATGTGTTCCCTGAACTGCCTCTAACATCTGGAGGAACCAGGATGAGGTCAAGGAATGGGCCCATGGGAATCTCATGATTCGAAGGGCGAGGTGCTGCACCTGTGTCAGAGCAGCCCTGGTTTCAGCCCAGGCTGGGGGATGGACAGATCACAGGAGCCCTGCCCAGAGGGGCTTGGGGGTGCTGGTGAGTGAGAGGCTGGACATGACCCAGCCATGGGCACTCCCAGCCCAGAGAGCCAAACGTGTCCTGGGCTGCATCCAGAGCAGCGTGGGCAGCAGGGCCAGGGAGGGGATTCTGCCCCTCTGCTCTGCTGAGACCCCACCTGCAGGGCTGTATCAGCTCTGGGGTCCCAGCACAGGAAGGACATGGACATGTTGGAGGGAGTCCAGAGGAGAGACACTAACTTCATTAATGCACCTCTCCTATGAGGGCAGGCTGAGAGAGTTGACACCATACAGCCTGGAGAACAGTATGCTCCAGGGAGAGCGTACTGATGGTGGCCTTCCAGAATTTAAAATGGCCTTATAGGAAAGATGGTGACATGAAAATAGGGCCTGTAGTGACATGGCAAGGAGTACTATTTTTAAACTAAAAGAGAATAAATTCAGACTAGATATAAGTAAGGTGTTTTTTATGATGAGGGTGGTGAAACACTGAAACAGGCTTCCTAAAGAAGTGGTAATTTTCCCATCCATGAAACCATTCATGGTTGTGTTTGACTGGACTCTGAGCAACCTGATGTTGTCAAAGATATCTCTGATCATTGGAGGGAGGTTGGACTAGATGAGCTTTAAAGGTCCCTTCCAACCCAAACCATTCTAGGATTCTATGAAACATTCCTGGTGTTAGGTTTAATAGCAGATTTTATACCATCAGTTGGAAGATGCTTTAGTCATATAATCCAGCAACGTTCATCAAAATTTGCCAATTTCTGGTTGATTAGTTTCCTATTTGCTATAGCCTGTTGCTTCATATTCCTTGGAAAATTAATTTATTGTATAGCAGAAAATATCTGCTTTTCTTCTAGAGTATATTTAAATCAATAATGGAAGTGATATCAGAGTAATCTTATTCCAGATTAATGAGATATCAATGAGCACTAGCTCTAGATATTGAATCTTCTATTAATCTATTAAAAAATTGGTTTGTTCCAGTGTGCAATGTTGGTGCACAAGACATAGAAGGTGCTAGGAAGTTTAAGCTCATGTTCTTTTTAGATTTTATATCTGAAATTGTCAGGTTAATATCAAATGTCTTTTAAGAGGTTAGTGAATGCCTATATATCTGTTGTTGATAAGGAGTAATTTTTAATTTTAGTTACTGAATTACTATGTCCTCTTCTCATATGTGGGGAACTAATGTGAGTGCTTGTTCCTGTATTAGTTTTTGTCCACTACATGTTTCACCCAGAAGGCTCCATCCAGCCTGGCCTTGAACACTTTCAGAGATGCCTCTCTGGGCAACCCATTCCAACATCCCCACAGTAAAGAATTTCATTCTCGTATTTAATCTAAACCTGTCCTCCTGCATGTTAAGGTCATTCCCTTCTTCCTATCACTACATGCCATTGTGAAAAGGCCCTCTCCAACTTTTCTTGTAGGCCCACTGTAAGTACTGGAAGGTGCTCTAAATTCTCCCTGGAACCTTCTCTTCTTCAGGCTGAACAGCCCCAGCTCTCTCAGCTTTTCCTTACAGGACAGGTGCTCCAGACCCACTGATCAATGTAGCAGCCCTCCTCTGGAGTCAATTCAGCAGGGTAACATCTTGTGCTGGGGAAGCCAGAGCTGGATGGAGGTGAGTGCTCCACCTGAGTGGAGCAGAGGGACAGAATCTCCTCTTGTCAACTGCCCACACTGCTTTGGATGCAGTTCAGGATACAATTGGGGTTTTGGGCTGTGAGTGCCCATGTCTGGGTCACAGTAAGCTGCTTATCCACAAACATCACCACATCTTTCTTTTGGAAGGTTACTCTCAACCCATTCTCTGCCCAGCCTGTATTTGTGCTTGGGATTGCCCTGACCCAGAATCCTGCAGCTGGTCTTTTTGAATTTCCAGAGGTTTGCACAGACCCATCTCTTAGGCCTGTTCTAGGTCCATCTGGATGGCATTCCTTCTCTCTGGTGTGTCCACCATGCCACACAGTTTGGTATCATTGTCAGACTTGCTGAGGGTGGTCCCAACTGTCCATATCACTGA